AAGCAACTCTAAGTTAGTCAAAATGTTCTTCTGTATTGTGTTACAAATGAACTTTTCCTGCATAAGCTTATGCATATTTTTTGTTAGTTAAAATGACAGCAAGATAATGTAATCTTATTGTGGTTTTTGATTGCTCAGGTAAGATGACATGGCAAATAGGTGCTGCAGCTTATATCGAGTGCAGCTCAAAGGCCCAGTTGGTAGGCAACTTAGAAGAATATAAGATCCATTTGACCAAGATGACTTAGAACACTACTCCAAGATGACAGCTGAATGTGGAGAACAAGTACAAATTGTGGAAGATACAACAACCATAGGTTAATGCTTTGGATATGGTATTTTGTAATTATAGGTTATAATGTTATAAATATGGTATTTTGTATGGATATAGTAGGAATCAAGATTGGTAAACAATGTAATTACAATTGAATCTTCAAGTTTTATGAAAGAAATAATTTTTTAGGATATCTAAAATGAAATTAGTACATCATTTTTACAGATAATAAACGGCGGTTTTTTGGAACAAAACCATCTTTTTTAGATTTAATAGACGTCTTTGGATATAATAAACGACGGTTTTTTCAGAAAAAGTATCGTCTTTACATTTAAATAGACGACGGTTTTTCAAAAAAAGTGTTGTCTTTACATTAAATAGACGACGGTTTTTTCAGAAAAAGTATCGTCTTTACATTTAAATAGACGACGGTTTTTCAAAAAAAGTGTTGTCTTTACATTAAATAGACGACGGTTTTTTCAGAAAAAGTATCGTCTTTACATTTAAATAGACGACGGTTTTTCAAAAAAAGTGTTGTCTTTACATTAAATAGACGACGGTTTTTTCAGAAAAAGTATCGTCTTTACATTTAAATAGACGACGGTTTTTCAAAAAAAGTGTTGTCTTTACATTAAATAGACGACGGTTTTTTCAGAAAAAGTATCGTCTTTACATTTAAATAGACGACGGTTTTTCAAAAAAAGTGTTGTCTTTACATTAAATAGACGACGGTTTTTTCAGAAAAAGTATCGTCTTTACATTTAAATAGACGACGGTTTTTCAAAAAAAGTGTTGTCTTTACATTAAATAGACGACGGTTTTTTCAGAAAAAGTATCGTCTTTACATTTAAATAGACGACGGTTTTTCAAAAAAAGTGTTGTCTTTACATTAAATAGACGACGGTTTTTTCAGAAAAAGTATCGTCTTTACATTTAATAGACGACGGTTCTATAAAAAAAAGTGTTGTCTTTACATTCAATAGACGACAGTTTTTTCAGAAAAAGTGTCGTCTTTACATGTAATAGATGACGGTTCTTTTAAAAACCGTCGTTTTTACATATAATAGACGACGGTATTAACCGTCGTAGTTTGACTTTCAAAAAGATGACGGTTGATTTAACGACGGTTTGAAAAAGAAAAAGACGACGGTGTTTCCCCACCGTCTATTTCAATTTTTGTAGTAGTGAATCCGATCCATCTAGTTTTTAGCTATTCCTTCAAAGATCATCCCTGCAAAAAATTACTTGAATTTGATATCATTTGACCACTCAATTGATGGTTGCAGTTTTAGTGTTTTCTTGAACCACTGGAATCAACTATTTTGTTGATCACAAACAATTAGATGTCGTAATGGTTTCCAATTTTACTAATTTCTTGCAAAGATAATCTTTAAATGAACAGTTCGGATCGTTGTATTGGACCCTACAATGTTTCCCTCAAATAAAACTAAAGAACCTGAAAGCATAAATGAGATATGGATCTTGTCTCTACCCAAAAAAAAAAAGAAAAAAAAAAGAAAAAAGGAAATGGATATTGTAGGTACCGTGAGCAAGGCCTTGAGTTCTTGCATTGTGAGTGTTGCACTATCCTTATTGTTAGGATCGGATAGTGCTAGAATAGAAATCGCCACAACTCAAATAACAGTATAAGCAGAAAAATAAAGAACACCGGGAATTAACGTGGTTCGGCAATGCCTACGTCCACGGGGCAGCAATATAAATTTCTTCCACTATAACAAAATAATGGGTACAATAAGAAAGGTCTTACCAAGCCAATGCCCAGGGCTTGATGATACACACAGAGAAAGTACAATGACACCACACTATACTCTCCTGTTTTACCTCACTCACACACTTGGAGTGGTACACAATTAACTCTCTCACTCTCACAGAATTGGAGTGGAATACTGATGGCTGTTTGGATGGTGTTCTCTCACTTCTCTCTCTTGCTCTCGGCTTCTCCAACTCTCTCTGACTCTTCAACACAACACACACACCACTTTCTTCCGCATGCACACTTGCATGTCCTTTTATATTTGAGAAAGGAAAAGTTTGGAAGCTTTTAGATTTTTCTTCCAACGGATGGCAGCATCATTTGCTTGAGACACCATCATTGGCTAAAGACACCATCATTAGCTAAAGACATCATCATATCATGTTGGCTTCATCATTGTGTTGGTTTCTCTTTTGACCACCGAAAGAATGTTTTTCCATCATGGGCTGGACCCATGGTATTATGCCAACACTGTGCACCGGATATACCTTTCTCAACAAATGTCTCAATCTGTATTAGTTAAAGTTTGCTCTTCAAGCACTTGAAACCCACAAATCATTTAAGTCATCCGGAGTTAGTGGCATATAATTTTATTCTTTATGAACATATTTCTGACCAAGGGAGGAGCCATGACTTTCCAAAAATCCCTTGACGTTTTTCAAACACCCCCCTAATACATAAAAATCATAGAGAGGAAAATGTTTATATCCCTCCCAATAATTAATTACAGCCTAATTATATGAAATTATATATAATAATGTAATTTAGCATTCATTTTTGACGCAGCACTACATCAATTTTATTCAATTTTCTTCTAAATAATGTCTGTAATTTACCAAGTCTAATATTCCTCCTATATATTCAGCTCTCCTAATTATCCATGGTCATCCACCAAAAAGTAAAAAAGGGCATCGCAAACCAAAGGAGGAAAGACTTGTGAGAATGAATATTGGCTTGTTGACGGTGAGAGAGAGTATATAACTTAGAAGAAGCGTCAATCAAGCTAGAGGTGCTGGTAACTAAGAAGTGTCAATCAAGCTAGAGATGCAAACTTTCTAAGCGTGGAATAAAGTATCGTGGATGACTTTAATTTACTTTCAGATAATCAAAGTCTCCTCAAAAATCAAACCAGCTACCAGTCCCTTCTTTATCAGCATCTTAGTTTCAACCGTGTTCGAAACTTAACCAAATCCAAGAATGGTTTACCTTAACTTGTAGAGCTCGTTCCTACGATCCTAATGGCGAAAACGGCGCAAGAATTGGAGTTGTAGAATGAAAGTTACGGTAGAAAGATGTTTGACGGAGGAAGAAGGCTGGGCTCTTACTGGCCAAAAGATAGTCGCAGGATCAAATTATCAGTCAAGGATCTGACGCCCAGAATTTAGCCACATCATTTCTTGATTTCCAATATTCCTAGATCTCCAAAAATTCACCAAGCTCTGAAAAATACTACAAACTCATAAACACATGTACTTTCCTTTAATCACATCCAAATAACCATTTGATCTCGAGAAAAAAAAAAATTGTCTTGTACATTTCTAACAAACCCAAAATAATTCTCCAAAATTTTATAATAGTTTTTAAGAACCATAAAATTTCCAGGGTTCACACACATGTACACATACTGTAACATATTTAGGTTTTAGATTTTGTTTATTTATTTAGCACGTGGTATCTTCTTGCTTCAAATTCAAATGATTAGTTTCTCTCCCTAAAGCTCAAATGATTAGCTTCAAATTCAAATTCAAATTATTTAGCACATGGTTTTAGATTTTGTTTATATTCATTAAGGTACATCTAAACCTACTTCTAAAACTCGAGAAAATACCCGAAGCTCTCTGTCCCTCTCCACTCTCCATTCTCCATATTTTCTCTACATGACTTTGGCCGCCCGGTTCACACTATACATACATTTTCGTACCCTTTTGTTAGTTATTGTTTCCCTACAAACACTGAAATTAAATTAGACATCGGAGGGCCTTTGACCAACACCCTTCGGGTGTGATCTATTTACTCCGATCTTTTTTACAAGAATCGAGGAAGAGAGAGAATGAAAATCAAAAGTTGAAGAATCACAAAGTGAATATTCTCCCGCGAGAATTTTTGCACAAACACATACTTTGAGAGATGCAATCCCATACTAGAATTAATTAATTCTAAAAACCATTTTGTTTTTTAAAATGCATGCTCATGATCATGAAGTTGCTGAGTTACTCTCCCTTTTCCCATCCAGTCTCCACACATGCATCTTCCAACAAAATAGCTGTGAGGACGTACAAGTTGTTTTCGTAACCTTCCAGGCAATAGACAATTGAATATGAGAATCTTGCAAGTGGATTGGAAGAATCCACACCATTAAGTCAAATACTTTAGTTTGGTTTTAGTTTAGAAACAGAGCAGTTTTCTTATTTATATTAATATATATATATATATATATATATATAATTTTAAAATACAGGACTTCACATAGTCGCGGTTGGTGCATGAAACGACTCAGGACACGTACGAAATAGGTGATGTTCGGCAGAGTAATAACATATTAACAGTTGTTCTTGAATCTTGGTCATGTCCGCGTGTTTAGAGGAGTGTCCAGACACCACACCACCACAGGCCTACACAAAAGAGTCTGTCTACAGGCCAGGTCTTCTCTTTGAAATATCTAAGGAGAAACAAAGAAAAAAAACCAAAAGCAAACGTACGCAAAACGCACTCTTGTCCTTTGCCTTTACTTCCCTGCTATATCCATCCACAAACTGACCGTCTAGACCGGGGCCACAAGTAGAGTCAAGGTCCTCTCTTAATGTCCCATCCTATACGTCTAATTTGGTAGTGAGTCCGCCTCCAAAGTTCGAGTCTCCTTCCTGTATCGGGATAGTTTTTGCTATAAAAGCCCAAGTTATTTTCATACAGAGGAACAAACAGAGAAATGGGTTCCTCAAGATTGCTAATTTTCTTCATTCTTCCTATACTCTTGGTCTTGGCTCCTCTTGCTCCTACCATAGTGGGCCACCATACCACCGGCTTTTGCACGGACACAGCAGACTACTGCTGGAGCTGCGTCAACAATGGCAGCATGCAGACTAATAACAACGCCTCCAACGGTGGCAGCAGCATCTACAGACAAAACCTCAACACCCTCCTCTCCTCTTTCCCTTCCGACCCCCAAATCAATCCCAGATTTTACAGTTCTTCTCTGGGAGAAGCCCCGGACAAAGTGAACGCAATTGCCGTATGCAGAGGGGACGTTGCACTCGAAGATTGCCGCACCTGTTTCAAAAACTCTGTTACCCTTCTCCTGCAGAAATGTGCTGATCAGAAGATAGCAATCATATGGGCAGAGCGCTGTACGGTTCGATACTCGAACATCTCGATTTTCGGTGTGCTTAAAGATGAGCCTGTTAAGTTTGTGCCGAGCCCAAATAACATATCAAACGCTGAAGAGTACAAGCAGGTGCGCGACCCCTTATTTGAAAATTTAAGCGAGAAAGCTGCAGCAGGGGACTCTGTTTTAAAATTTGCAGCAGGGAATGCGTCGGTGCCTGTAACAAATGAAATTATATATGCAACTGTCCAGTGCAGCCCTGATTTGGACAAACAAAACTGCAGCGATTGCCTTAAAAACTCCATGCCAGATATTACAGAGTGTTGTGGTCCTGTGGGTGGAGGAAGAGTTCTTAAACCCAGCTGTTATTTGAGGTTTGAGTCCAATCCTTTCTTAGAGTCTGGAGCACCCTAATAAACCTTCCAGGCGAACAAGGTATAATAATTTATTTTTGTTTGTTGCTTAATTTCTTGTTTGAGCCCCAATTAGTTAACACCACGTTGCTAACAAACAGAGCCTTGTGATTTTTGCAGGAAATAACGTACCCCTCGGAAAGTGTGTCGAGCCGCGACAACGTTCCGACTCTGGTGCCTGCACCACCTCCTTCCTGTTACTTGGTTACTACTCTTGTGCCTTTGGACTGCTCTGAGAGTTACTGAATTTTGGGTTAGATCTGTGATGTGGGTCTGTATTATCTGTAATTTTTATTGTTTCAATTTGGTGTTACTACCACATGTTAGGTGTGGATTTTGTTTTACTGCTGGCTTTATGCCTGTTTAATTTTCTTTCGGACGGGATCATGATCTTCATGCTATGCCTATACCGGGGTTTTAGTTAGATCTGGTCCTGTTTGGGTGCTGTTGCGTTAGTCCTTTGCGGGTGCTCCTACTTGGCCCTTTTGTTGTGTTCCTTGCCCTTTTGTGGGTTTTCAATGAATTTGCATTTCGACCAAAAAAAAAGAAGTTAGTTTCTCTAGTATTATTGTTTATCAAATCTCTCATATAGATGGGTCCTAAATATGATTTCATAATTCCATCCAACTCGTCGTACTTACGATTGGTATTGTCATTATGCTTATTAATATTATCAGCATTTGCATTCTTGTGAGAGTCTGGAAGCGAAGAAGGGCAACAAAGTTTATTCAATTTTGTTTTATTACAATTTGGAATTTAACAAGGGCACTCTTCGTTTGTTAGTGCTTGAATTTGTCAAGACCCATGTAATAGGGATTACTCCCTTTTTTCTAATAATAAAAATAAGGATTATTCTATGGTTTTTTATTATTATTTATAAACAATACGATAAGCCCAATTCAAAATGAATGCGCACGCCAATTTATAAACGCCAATTAGATTAATTTATAACAATTTAAAATATCCCGAGCATAAACTAAAATAAAATAAAGGAGGGTGCATTGGCACCACGCAAGTGGCATGAGGTGTCTTTGACTGCTTTTATATTTATGTTTGCTTGAAATTGAAAACCATGTCATTGTCTTAGGCTTGCAAGCAATTACGGACTGAACCAATCAACACCATTCTATATACAATACGCATGGAGATGTCATTGTCTTAATAGATGCAGAAATATAAACCCCAAGATTTTAGCATGGCGAGGTTGTTCGTGCTTGATCAAACACAAGGAAGTACCAATCGAATTGTGGGGACCTAGTAAGTACTAGCAATGTTGCCCGCGCAATGCTGCGGGTTTTAAAATCGTGTGAAATATGTACAAAGTTGTGAAAATATGGAGGAAAGATGGTACTATTTATATAGACATGGAGATCTAAATAGTGGCATCATGCTTTGTTTAGCAAGTCTAAGTTACAAAAAATAGGATAATACATGTTGGGTAAATTACTCAAATGGTCCCCAAACTTGTACGCGATTTACATTTTGGGGCCTCAATTAAATTATTCGTTCAAATGGTCCATCAACTCTATATTAATCGCTACATTGGTCCTACCGTCTAATTTTCTGTTAGATTTAACCAAATTTTAGGGTAAATAATGACCAATTTTCCCTCATATTTAATGGAAATATTGATAGAATGTAACGGTAGGACCATTGGAGCGAATAATATAGAGTTGATGGACCATTTGAACGAATAATTTAATTGAGGCCCCCAAATGTAAATCGCGTACAAGTTTGGGGACCATTTGAGTAATTAACCCTAACATGTTTTTTATGATGTTTGTCATGTTAAAATACTGACCATATTTCAATAAATCAAGTAGCAGTCAAAACATCAAAATATCAGCAATATTGAGTTGCTTATGTTCAAAAGAGTTCGGATAGGTCTTTATATATATGCTATTAGGTGATGGAAGAGGATTTTTCTGCCTTGATCTCTGTTAGAGGGGTTCTTTCTCTTGTTAGCTTTGCTGTAGAGGTGGCTTATGTTCTTTCTTGTCCTCTGTAGAGGTTCTAACTATGTTGGTACAAATTTGGAAAATGACAGGTGTTAGTGTAGATAAATGAAATTTTTTGAGTGAAGACAATAATTATTGTCACAGAATTAAGTTCAAAAATCCAATAAGACAACACAACAATTTAAGTACATCAAGCATTCTATTAATCTGATGGACAAAAGTATAACCTCAGTCTATTTAATCAATGGCCGCCAAAGCATCTCCAACAGTGAACGCAAATCTTCCATCGCTTCCCCCCAACCAGGCCAACCAGCTAGTTCGAAATCAACTGGAGATGAACTCCTTCTCTGAGCGAACGAAACGTTCGCAGGGGAAGAAAGACAAAAGGAGAAGGGGCAAAATGGAAAGAGCATAAAAGGTTAAGTGGAGGACATTTTCGGCAATTTACTGTGCTGATGAGAAAACAAAATTGAAAATAATAGTAAAAAGAGGGGCATTTCTGTCATTACACTGTGCTTAAATACAGTGAAGAGTTGGATTGAGCTTTAGGAGGGTGTATTCAATTAAGATTTTAATGGATTATTTTGAAGCTTAAAAGTACAGCAGTATTCAATTAGGATTTTTAAGTAAACAATAAAAGTCTGGTGGTATTCAATTAGGATTTTTAAATAATCAATACAAGTCCGGTGGTATTCAATTAGGACTTTTAATAGATAAGAAAAAGTACTGTGGTATTCAAAAACTTACTGATTTTAATGTATTTCATTAAATGGTGTATTGTGTGAGACTTTTGAGTGTGTGATATATATACCAAATCACATAACAAATCACACCCTCCTATGCATGATTCTCATATATGCTCTCATACTTTTTCTTCCCCATTATTTTTTCATGCCTTTTATTGTATATAAAAAAAAATTCATAAGGGAGACGATAAAGGGTCCACATCACAGCACAGTCCCCCTTTTTCCTCCTTTCCCTCCACCTCTTTTTTTTCTTCTAATTTTTTCTTTCTTTCCTCCTTCCTCCCCTGACCCCTCTTTCTCCTTCGCACTCTCCTCTCTCCCTCAGTGTTTAGTAAACAACCACCAATTTTAGATGATGAAAGTTGCAAACCAATTTTGTAAAAGCTCTTCCATTGGTTATTCAAATGGGAAGATCCAAGTAAAACGAAGGTCTTTATCTATTGAACAAAGCGCTACTACATTCAAATTATGTGTAACGGCATGGATCATTAAATATCATATTATGTATTACAACATCATGTTATATCTACAACTTTAATATTTTAATTGCTATATAAAATTACTTCAATGTCATTAGAACATTTTATTGTCACTTATTGAGTTATTTTGAAATATTTTCTATGAATTCAGTTTTGGTTTCGGTTTAACAAATTTTGTCTTCAATGGGTGTATTGTTTTTGTCAATTAATAACATTTTTATAATATTATAAATATTATGTTGCAAAATGGGCACAAAGGTTTATGAGATTTTATTGGTTAATGTGGTGAGCAAAAATACTCCCATAGAAATAAAATCCTGTAATTGTAATCTATTAAAATCATAAGTAAAATCATAAGTGAATAAAATCATAAGTAAAATCATGTAATTGCAATCTATTAAAATCATAAGCAAAATCATATAATTACAAATCCGGTTGAAATCCATTACATTAAACTCTTGTAATTACAATGTGTTAAAATCTTAATTGAATACACCCCCTTAGTACATATATAATTTGGCGAGGCTTGATGGCTTATGTGACAATTGTGTGCGTCAATCTATATCAATAATCCAATTCATACTACTAACAAAATCGACTTTTATGTTATTGATATACAACGGATATATGCTTCCAAAGTATGTGATGCATGGACACATCTCTGTTAAGTCGGATGTCTAGTTTTGGAGATAGTAAGTGGACAAAGAAAGAGTTTTCATCGCGGAGAGAATGTGGAATATCTTCTGAGCTATGTAAGTAAAAAGGAAAATAACAGATTTTTTTTTTTTAATCTCTGATTATATTTCTACAAATTGAAAAATTAATGGTTGCAGGCATGGAAAAGTTGGAGGGAAGGGACAGGTTCAAATCTAATAGATCCCACAATGGGGACTAATTTAAGAAGTGAAGAAGTTATGAGATGCATCCACGTTGGGTTATTATGTGTGCAGGAAAATATAGCTGATAGGCCAACCATGGCTTCTATACTTCTGATGATCAATAGCTCCTCTCTCTCACTCTTCCAGTGCCCTGAAAACCAGCTTTCTTTTTGCACAGTAGTGTCTTCGGGATGTCAACGTAATTCAGAGGTGACAACTGTTGAAATTGGCCCAAATTAATGTTTTCTGCTTTTGCCTTGTGTCGTGTCGACCAACTTTCATGCAGCCGAAAGTTGTGTTTTGTTGATAAGAGTTATTCATTAACAAATTGGACAAAGGAAAGAGGAAACATGCAGCAACTCACGTGGGCATGCTGTTAAAGGGAAGAAATGATGGTCTTTTGTCAAAAAGAGGAACCAAGGCCATGTGAAGAGAGAAATATGGTGGTTGGCTTTTAGAGCATGTGGAAGACTTTTCTGACTAGCCATCACGTGGCTTCCTTTAGCATGCATGGGTTCATAAATAGGGAGAGAGAGCAGCAAGCAAGAGGTGAGTGGTGTGTGGGCATTTGTGCCTCACCATTTGGAGGTGCCGTGAGCACTAGGGCTGGCAATGGGTCGTGTCGGGTTCGTGTCGTGGCATGTCGTGTCGGGATAATAAACGTGTCAAGAATATTCAACCCGAACCCAACCCATTTAATAAACGTGTCGTGTCGGGTTCGGGTCGTCTTTTATCGTGCGGGTTTCGAGTCGTGTAACGGGTTCATAAATAGTAACATGCATGTTACAAAACTCACAATTGAAAAAATTTAAATAAAAAACAAGAGGAGAAGATGGAAGGAAAAGAAAGAAAAAGAAACATTATAAATATCAAAAGTCATAGTATATAATCACAAAGTTGATCACAAAGTTGTATGTAGCATGGTGGATAAGGTGTTGGAGAGTAATGAGGGTGGTAGGGGTTCGAAACCCCTTGTGTGTGTGATGAAGTCTCTATTTATGCTTATTTTTTCGCGGGTTGGCGTGTATTATACGGGTTGACACGACCCGTGACACGACCCGTTTAAATAAACGGGTTAATAATGTATTATAGCGGGTTAGCGGGTTGACCCGAAACCCACCCGTTTAATAAACGGGTTATAGTGGGTTGACCCGAAATTGACCTGTTTTTTTATCGTGCGGGTTGAACCCGCTAATTTCTCGTGCGGGTTTCGAGTCGTGTATCGGGTCGTGTCCGAAATTGCCACCCCTAGTGAGCACCATTGCTCAGAGAGGCTAAAACAGAAGTGAGGGACACTTCCACACAGAGAAAAATACTAGAGAGCATCACCATGATGGTGGAGATAAACTCCTCTTTGGCTACACGAGATGTTGAAGGAAGATCAAGCCCTTTCAAAGGTTGAGTCTTCTTCATATGTTTGTGGGAGGTTTATTTCTTTGTATTGTTCTTAGTGTGTTCTTTCC